AGGTGCTCAAAGTTTGCAGTGGTGTTACAAACGAGAATGAGAAAGATGGAGGGTACAAGAGGTTTGGTCGAACTCTGGTCTGAGGGGCCAAGAGCAACAGGAGCTCCGCTATATGCTAAGTGTTCGAGCGTGTGCTCGAGATATAAACCTAATGGTTCTGTTGTTGTGTGTTGAATCGATCGTAAGTTGTCTAATTTTTTTGGGAGAAAGCGCATCCCATTTTATAGATGAAGGGGATGGCTTTACAAGAGAGAGAAAGAGAGTGTACGTGTACTAAGTCTTATTGCTCACGCCATCGGGTACAAGGCGATTGTAGGCGCCCACAATACTGTTGATGTCAAAAGCATGGACGGTTTTACCGTGGTCTACCAGGTGCGGTAAATGCCCACGCCCACAACACTGTAGATCCCTAGATGCATGTGGGGGCCTTACCGTGTTTGCCGGGTATGGGAATTGATAGCGCCTACAATACTGTAGGGTAAATGTCGGCGCCCTCAACACTGTTTGGGCTCTATCATACCTGGAAGGTTGCTGGGTACCCTTCTAATCTGTCTTGTCGATACTGTCCTACAGGTGCACAGGGTACGGTCCTTGGCGTTCGACTTTGAGCGCCCTGTCTTACTTGTTATGTCCGTTGCCTGGGTCCTTACCGAGCAGGTGTCCCCAGTCGGTTGGTTCCCTGTCGGCTTCGACTGCATCGGTCGGAGAAGATTCATAAGCAGAGGTTCGACGTATCTCCGGTCGGAGACGCGGGTCAGAGTCGGAAGCGATTTTGGCTAGGCCTCCCGGTCGGAGTCGGAAGCGAGCGACGTTCCTCTTGGGCCAGGCCTTCTGGTCAGAGAGGCGAGCCGAAGTTTGGAAGCAAGCGTTGTTCCTCCTTTGGCCAGGCCTTTTGGTCGGAGACTGGGTCTCCCTTGGCCTTTCGCTTAGGCTTTTTGCCTGGCCCAGGAGTTTGTGCGTTGTTCGCAACATCGTCTTTTGGGCCGAGCGTTTGTTGGGAAGCTGGTCCACGAGGGACCCCGTGTTTATGAACCCGACAACGGGTTACAGCGGAGGGAAAGAGAAGAACGAGAGATAGCCAAAGGCCTTCAGGATCGCCATGTCCTTCTTATCCTCCATGCGCAGGCGTCGTCTGTCGATCATGGTGCTCCACTCCGTCCTAGTGGACGTCGTGGTAAACCGACGCGCCTGTCAGTGTTCGTACGAGGGTTAGGCAGAACAGCACCGATACGCCCGACACTGTTCCATATGTGAATCCTCGGGTATGGCCCGTCGTGGCCGCGTGTTACATCGGAGCGTGCCGGTCTCTTCCCTGGTGTCAGAGCTTTGACCCAGGCCCATACACTTGGACCTGGAGTGGTTGGTGGCGGCATAGGTCTACGTCGGGTGAGACAGAGTCTGTGACCTCGGGGTCGGGCGAGGCGGAGCGCAATCCTAAGGGTCGGGCGAGGTGGAGCTCGTGGCCTTGGGGTCGGGCGAGGTGGAGCGCAAACCTAAGAGTCGGGCGAGGCGGAGCCCGTGGCCTTGGGGTCGGACGAGGCGGAGCGCAAACCAAGGGGTTGGGACGAGACGGAGCGTAAACCCAAGGGTCGAGCGAGGCGGAGCCCGCGGCCTTAGTGTCGGGCGAGGTGGAGCCCTCCCCCAGAGGTCGGGCGAGGGGGGGCGCAAACCCAAGGGTCGGACGAGGCGGAGCGCAAACCCAAGGGTCGGGCGAGGCGGAGCCCGCGGCCTCGGTGTCAGGCGAGGCGGAGTCTTTTCCTAGAGGCTCCCCAGAGGTCGGTCGAGGCGGAGCCCGTCGGTTGAAGCCGTAGTCACGCTCTTAACTGTTTGGATGAATTAATGTTAATGACCATTAGTCCATCCTCTTCGGGTACCCGTATGGGTCCCCAATAGATTTCTTCTAGTAACCAATGTTTTTGACAACTCATGATCTATAATGCAAACTTCCTATTGATCTGCTTAATAGGAGGAAAAAGGAACATGCCTTCAAAGCATGTAGACTTGACAAGCTCTATTTCCTTCGAATCAAACTTCGAAACTACCTCATGAATTAATCTAACGGAACACCTGGACGCAAATGAGCCGCATTCAGGTCGTAGGTTATCCATTTGGCTCGCTCAGAGAAATTAATAACACTTTTCCTACCTCTCAGTCGTCTATCTGCTCAAGAGATCTATCTACTGTAAGTCTTTGACTGTTCAGGAAACTAGCAATCACCTGTTCATCAAGAATACTAATAGTTACGACTATTGCCTAAAAATATACTATATTCTAGGCATATGAAATATAACAAATCCAAATAATAAACATAAATAATATATCAGATACCGATTTAAGAAAAGTAGAACATGGTCACAGAAATAAAACAAAACATAATATAAAAGGAATTTCTATTCATCGTTCTAACAATTATGTACGGGCTTGTTTGGCTCGCGTCCACAGTCGTGCCACAGTTTGCCGAAGATATGGCGACTGTCACAGCTGCTAGTTGAATTTTAACACCGTAGCTCGCCAAATATTAGGCGGTCGATTCGTCCGCCACATTTATGGTGCGGCCACAGTTGTGGCGTTGTTGGCAGCGGCGGCAGCCAAAGAGACCCGTACTTCCTAAGATTACTCTAAGAGGCAGAGGGGAAAAAAACATCAGCGGCAAAATTAAAGACGCAGTTAAAGACGCATTGAGTTAGGAGGGGAACATACGATACGAACAGAGGATTCAATATACTATTATTAAAGACTCAGTAAAGACGCAGTTAAAGACGCATTGAGTTAAATATACTATTATTACGATTTGTGTACTGAACTGCGCAGTTAGGTCAATGTCAACGGGGTTTTATTAGAGTTTCACGGACATTAAATATACTGACGTGGCATAGTATTGATGAAGGGATAGATGATAAAAGTTTAATGGGAGTAGAGATAGTTTTATGGGGATGAAACTCTTCTACACTGTTTTTAAAATATGAATGTGTTGAAAACTGTGACATGAAATCCGCACTGAGACTGGCCTTAAAGACGCATTGAGTTAGGAGGGGAACATTCGATACGAACGCAGTTAAAGACGCATTGATTAAAGACGCATTGAGTTAAATATATTATTATTACGATTTGTGTACTCATATGCATAGGCCAATCTCAATGGGGTTTTATTAGAGTTTTATGGACATTAAATATGTTGATGTGGTATAGTATCGATGAAGAGACATACTATAAAAGTTTAATGGAGGCAGAGCATATAGTACATACCAAATTGAATGTGGTGCCTGAACGGACAGCGAATATGTAGTGCACCAGAAAAAAAAGGACGCCCATAGATCTCGAGAGGTGTTTAGTTGGGAAGGTGAAAATTTTGGGTGTCACATCGAATGTGTTAGAAGGATGTCGGGAAAGATTTTTTGATACTAATAAAAAACAAATTATAGAACCCATCAGAAAACTGCGAGACGAATCTAATGATACTAATTAATCGGTCATTAGCACATGTGGGTACTGTAGCACTTTAAGGCTTTTCATGGACTAATTAGGCTTAAAAGATTCGTCTCGCGATTTTGCCGAGAACTGTGCAATTAATTTTTTTTTCGTCTACATTTAGTACTCCATACATATATCCAAACATGCCTTTTCACTGTAGGAGGCAAAAAAAAAAAAATTAGAAACTAAACACGCCCTACGTAACGAGAAAAAATTCCGACAAGCTAAATTCATTAACAGCGGCAAAAATAGGGTCAAAATTAAGAAAAAAAAAAGCAGGGTACATGTTAAACCACATATCCGTGTAGTGTCAGCAGGCCATCGCGGACGGCGGCTCCGTTTCCTTGAATTGCTTATTAGTCGTGAGTGATGGTACATTGTTTTTTTTTTCTCATAACAAAACTGTATCAACCGGCTTATCAGCCACAGAACAGCTCAGGCATGTGTGGATTTACAAATATGAAGACAAGACATTATTCGCCGTTGCCGGTCCCAATTACAGCCGACTGAAGCTCCTATCTCATGAGTGAAGCTGCGCTGCGATACACAGCTAAGTTCCACCTGCGAAATTACAAACCCTAGCAAGCGGAGGTGCTGAGAAAAAAGAGCTTGCATTTGGAGCTGTTCGGCTGATGGTTTTGTGATTGATAAGCCGACTGATACTGTTTTGTTGTGAGATAAAAACACTGTACTATAGGGCCTGTTCGGTAGGATTGAAAAATAATGTTCCGGCTGATTGTTGTGAGAGAAAAATACTGTTCTGACAGGACATAAACAGTGATTCTGTGAGGTGGCTGGCCAGCCGGCAACCAGCCAGCCAGCCAGCCGAACACGCCCATAGTTGATAAGTTCAAGCGAACAATAAAAAGGTCCAGGGTCGATCGTGCCAGACAAACAGTACAGGCAATAAATGTACACTATGCAAACATAACGGACAAGAGCGGTTCGCCAGATGGTTTTTGTGGCTGATGAGGCGGTTGATGCTGTTTCGCTGTGAGAGAAAAATATTGTATGCACACGGTACACTTCACAAATACTGTACAAACACTCCCCAAACACTGTACAGGCAATAAAAATGTGCGCTATACAAAAACTGTACCATAGCCAGCTTCCTCCCCACTGTACCGGGAGAGGACGAGGATGCAACGGATGAGCCGCCACTGAGGAGGTCCAGCAGGCCGAGGGCCCAGAGCACACGTGTGTGAAACGACTAGCTATCTAGACTAGTGTATCCAAGCACTGCTATATATAGGCAATGGCTTACTTGTAGAAGGGATCAGCTATCAACATTGTAACAAAAAACTCTTATTGCTCTATATATAAACCAGACCTCGTCTAAACCTATCCCCTTCTTGCTATTCCACCTCAATTCTACTTATTTCTCCTATTGGTGCACTAACATTAAGGTGCTTAAATAAAAAATGAATCAAGTCCCGGTCTTCCCTCTCCGCCCTATCCTCGTTCAGCGTCACCGTCGTTCAGCGTCAATTTGGCCGGATCGAGCTCCTCCCTCTCCTCGTCGTCGAGCGATGGCCACCCCGGCTTCTTTAAGTCCCGGTCCCGATCCCGGCAGGAGAGCCCCTCCGCAACACCGCTGTGCTTCGGCGCTGGCAGCGGCGGCGCGGCCGGGAGGAGGCAGCAGCTCCTGGGCTCCCGCGCGCGAGAGCCCGCGAAGCTGCACCAGCAGCAGGAGGAGCAGGCTGCGGCGATCATGGCGCCCAAGATCAAGGGAGACGTGGTTGGCAATTGGGAGGAGGTACCTGAGAAACATTTCCAGGAGACTAAGGGCGAAGCACAGGAGCGTCGGTAAGGGGTCGCTGACGTCATCCATGGCCGCCGTTGATGACGACACAGCCCGCGAGAGGGCCGAGGCCGTGGCCCGCGCCATCTCCTACTGCAAGGACACGCTCCGGCGGTCGTCGATGCCCCCGCCGCCGTCTCCCTCGCCTAGCCTTGACGACTGGCTCCTCGACGACAGAGACAGACAAGAGGTGAAGATCATCGCAAGCGCTGCTGAGCAGCACTGCGACGATTGCAGGACCAGGGACTCGCGGCCCTCGCCGACGCGTTCTCGCCGCGACCAGGACGCCGGCTGGCCCATCCGGGTGCAGACGATGGTGAAGCGATTCAAGGAGTCGCCATGCTCGTCCTCGCCAAGCCGGTACCGGAACGGTTCGCTCGCCGCGACCGCCGCCGTCGCGCACGGCGAGGAGTCACCGCATCACGGCCACGGTAGGTCTCTCTGCTAGCCACCCAGCACCGTCGGCTGGTGATTGGTGGGATGCCATGCAATGCAATGCGACGTCTATAGTCTAATGCGTTGGCTCTCCATTAATTTCGTACGTGCAGGTTGCCGTGGCGAGCCGATGAGCAGCTTGGACGACGAGTTGGAGTTTCTGAAAACATTCGATGGGGGCGAGGAGATGATCAATCGCCATTTCATCACTGTGGAGATCCCAAGAAGCGGCTCTCGAGCGTTCAGGAAGCAGAGTCCGCTCGATATGAAAAGGAAGCGATTAGATATGAAAAGAAAAAAATCGTGTCAGCGTAGTAGAACCAACACTGAACGTATTCCAGGAGCTAGAGCTAGAGAATCAATCAGCGTAAGGCTCTGTCCGGTTATGCCGTTTCTGGACGTTCCTGGCCAGGAATGGTTCCGACGCTATTGAAAATATTGATGAAACGGTAGGCCAGGAATTGTGGTAACCCAACGAGGCCTAAGTAGTTTTCCTATCAATCTAACAAAGGCCTAAGAATTCTAGAGCTGGTCTAGCTCCAAAAATTCTTGGAGCTAGAGCTGTGGCATACTGAAGATATTTAGTTAAGCTATTTTTATAGCATACTTTATTCTATCTTATGACTATAACATCAAATCATTCATGGATATCTAGGGCTGGAGGTATGCCAAACTTTCCTTTAATATAGCAGCCATTTGATGTCTCTACGCTGTAGGTTATTAACTAATACCTTTTGATTAACAAAAAAATTTAAAGATATTTTCTCTAGTTATTATAATTTAAATTTATTTGTTGCACAACGATTATTCAAGCATTGCATAATTCATATGTCCTGTGTACAACTCAAACTTTTTGCTCCTTAAGCATTTCATTCCGGAAATCACGTTGACACCTCTCTCTTCACATTTTGTCGAGTTCGGGAAGAAGAGCGCAATCGAAGGTGCCACGCAACCAACAACCTCAATCCCTACCCTCACCCAACATCGTATCCTAAGGGCATGGTGCTAGCTTTTTCATGGAATGCCATATCATCCATGGAGCTATATGTCTTCCCCTAAGTGGGTCCTACAACACAACCAACAATCAAAGAAAACAAACTGCACTTAGGGATGAAAGCGGCAGAACGGGTGGAAAAACTCCTCTCCTGTTTCGCATTTCTATATTTTTAGTAGAAACGGGATCGGGTTCGGGCGAAAAACGGAGTTAAAACGGATGGGGATATACGGAAATACGAAAACAAATAAATACGGACGCAAAGCCAAAAAATTAAGGTAGAATAACATGATCAAATATTCTCGAGTATACATGAACAAAGTCACAAAATAATATACACGTACGAAGTTATCGGGTCCAATACTCACTAACATGCCATGTGTTAACATGTTAACATGCATAATTGGTGATTAGTAGGTTTATGAACATATCAATTTCTAGACAATCTTACGTAAATTGAAAACGGGATGAAAACGGAACAAATATAGGTAAATTCTGGATGAAAACGGGATCCTGCCGAAACGAGCAGAAAAAACTGTCTCCGCGGAGCAAAGTAGAAACGGAACGAGATTATTTTTGTTCGTTTTCAACCTTAACTGCACCGCATCATCCTCTACCGGTTCCTCGCTCTATTTCCTATGTGCTGATGGTGATAGATGACAAGTGGGCCTGTTTAGTTTCTCATTCAGTTAGATCTGGTATCTCAACTTGATTTGATGCTAGGAATCTTTTGTTAGCTTCTTTGTGGTGGAACGGTTAAACCTGAGCCTAGGAGCCAAAAAAAAAATTCCTCTTTTAAGGCATAGGTCTTGTTTGGAATCATGATCTCTCACCACGCGGTGCGGTAGACGAACGACACTGAGAGAACTGTGATACGTAAAATTATGTCTGTAGTTTATTTTTTTTGTGGTGGCTGAGCAGTGATAACAAGAATCGAGTGGACCGCACAGTGATTCGTGAGATTCTCTGCTTCTCTCGACTGCCACCGCAAGATACGCGGTCCCAAGCATGCCCATATGTTACACATGCCCTAATAGTGGAACCGTACCAGAGTCTCATTGAAAGACGCCGTCCCATAATCTCCAAGGTGGAAACCCATTCACCTTGAACTCTTGAAACGGAGAAAAAAATCCAATCCCTTGGCTATCATTGTAATTTAATTTCCCCAATACTTTGAGCAACAAAAGGAGATAAACCTCAACTGAAAAATCTAATTCCCCACTCAAAAATACATGGTCGTACGTGAAGAATGACGTATCAATGCAAGATTGCGAATCATGCTCGCCCACAAATTCCAACCTTGACGCGTGTTGTTGTTATTGATTATGGAATGACAGTACGTGCTGCCATACTGGCTGCCATGGAACTGGGAAGGGGCCTTCCATATACACACGCCCGCCAGGTGAACCATTCAGACAAGAATGTCTGCCATCTGCCGCTAATAAGGAAACCGATTCGTGCTCTTCGCCATCGGCGTCCTCCTCCTCGTCGTCGAGCGCCGACGACTTCAGCTTCAGCACATCCGGGCAGCAGAGCCCGTCCAGCTCCGCACTGTGCTTCGGCGCGGGCGGCGCCGGGATGCGGCCGTGGACCTCCAACAAAGTCCTCTTGCGCGCGTCCAACAAAGTCCATGCGGAGGAGGATGCGCAGCAGGCGGCGGCGAGCGTGGGAAATGTTTCGGTTGCGGCAAGCCTGGCGCCGAGGGGGCACGCGGGGGGAGGCACCTGCGGAGGATCTCCCGGCGGCTGAGGAAGGCCAGGGCCGCTAATAAGGAAACTCCGGCAGCGCCACGAAGGGGCGCCGTCGACGACACGGCCCGCGAGCGCGCGGGAGGCCGTGGCGAGCGCCATCTCCCACTGCAAGGAGACACTCCGCCGCGGAGGAGGCGGCTACCCCCGCCGCTGTCCTCGCTGAGCCTTGTGGCTCAGCGACAGGCAGCACGAGATCATAGGTAACGCCGCCGAGTCCGCGGCTGTCCTTCCGACTGCGCTTGCACGGCGTGCCTCATGCATGCAGTTGCCACTGCCACATATAGCTCCACCAGTGGCGGCGGCGGCAACTGGAACGCCGCAGTCACAGATCAGTGGTGTGGCCAGCAGGGAGACGGAAACGCGCCGCGGCTTTGGCGAGCTGGAGTTTCTGGAAACCTTCGATGGGGACGAGGAGTTGATCGATCGTCACTTCATCACTGTACAAATCTGAACAAGCGGCGGCGGCTGTCATTGTACAGGAAGCCGTCTTTTTTGTTTTTTACCCTTTTTTTAAAGATATTCACAAATACGTCCCTGATCCTATGAAAAAATAGACCCTAACCTCGACGCCGTGACAATTGGCGCCGAGGTTGTATGTCTCGGCGACAATTGCTCTGGTGCCGAGGTCCAGGGTCAATTTTTGGGTGTCGCTGGCGTGGCTGCCTATGTGGCGCGGATGTGGCATGAGCTCAGCGCCGTGGATCTTGGCGCCAATTACTACGGCGCCGAGCTATGGAAATTGACAAATTTGAATTTTTACCATGACTTAGATATTGAGAAATGTGGCTAACTCTATAGTTTTTACGGTGACTTACTGTTTGATCACTTAAAACAATCTAGAAATACTTAGGACAAAAAATGATCAAGGGTTTATGTTCATGAACTAGCCTAAAAATACTTGTAAGTGTTGATCAATAGTTAACTCCTTTTTTCACGATGTTGTTTTGACCAGGATAAAACTATAGTTTCTTTTCTAGATATGAAGTTTGACCTTTAATAGAAGTTGTAGTTTGAGTTGAGTACAGTAAACTTTGCTTTTTGACCTAAACCTAAATCAGTATTTAACATGGCCGAATAGTGACCACAAGTTTGAATACAGTGTTGTTTTGCCCCCTCCAAATCTTTCTAATCCCCTGATCACCGGCAATGAATTGAAATGTATACAATATTTTATCTTCTAAATTTGTATAGCAACTCAATTTGATACCTTGCTACGAGTTTGAATACTCTCTGAGAGATGACAACAAAATTACTTCATTGAGGTTCCTTCGATGAAGGCTGGTCGGCTGGATGTGTGGAAGAGTCCGAGTGCCTCCTACTAGTGGGATGGTGGATGCCATTGGGCATTGGCCTCCTACTCCACTTCCTTTCCTAACTTCCCACGTCCTTGCAGCCACCCTCACTATTGCATTTGAAGACACTTGGAAATAGATGACCAGACGAGCACAACAACAAATAGGTTGCGTGTGAGGCCCAGTATTTTTTTGCACAGTCTAAGCACAACCTCTATAGTGATTGGACTAGCATGATCCGATGCGTTGTGGCGTGCTTGGATTAAGAACCGATCCCATCAAGCGGCTTAGACACATACCATTTAAAGAGTCGCCTGAGATAGCGCATTATTGCCCTCACCACCCCATGTATCCCCGCCTAACCATCCCAAACCCTAATCCCGCTCATCACCCCTCGAGTCCCATGCGGCTACCGCCTCGACTCTCGCTTATCTATCCTTCCCCCCCTTTCGTGGTAGCGTGGCTTTGCCCCTGTCGCCCACTCTCCTCTAGCCTTTCCCTCCACTATGGCTTCGCCACCACAGTTCACCTCGTCGATAAGTGCAGGCCTCCCCTCAAACTCATCAGATGCCTTGACACGTGTAAGCGTGTGTGGGAGCTAGACGCTATGGGCCCACAGTGGCTTGTCGTGGTCAAGAACTCAGTGTCCACGCCCTGTGCAAATGCGCAAACCATTAAGCGTCAACTAATTGATGCCCTTCGGTGTGAACAGAGACCTTAGATCTGCATATGCTTGTATTGACATATCTTGATTTCTTGAACTGTAGTTTGTGAACTAGATTTGGTCGTGCCTGTGTTGATCTATGATCTATACTCCTTTTTTTTGTGAGCAAAATCTATGATCTATACTCCAATGTAGTTATAGTAGTTAGACAGGGCTGGCACGACCCGTTAGGCTGACCGGGCCTACCAGGCCAGCACGACATGGCTAATGCAGCCGTGAGCTATGCTTGGGCCGTTAGCTGAGGCTGAGCCCGTTGGGCGTCATGGCATTGCCCGTCAACCCTACAGGAGTTACAGTGTTGCAGCACCAGCAAGCGGCAGCGCACCTCGGCAAGGACCAGGGAGGCAGCTCCTCCTATCGTCGGTGCCACCATGCCAGTCGCTGGCGCCGGCGCTGCTGCAGTCCTGCACTGTGCTGCAACTGCCGTGCCTTTGTTGTCGGTGGAAAGGCCGCACGGGGACGGGACGGGACGTGCGTGCGCGGCTAGAGTCCCGAATCCCGATTCCCGAAGTGGGCGAGCGACCGCGTGCTGGTCTCGGCGATGCGGTTCTCCT